ACGAACCTGGGGAACAATCCACGTGACCACCATGAGGAGAGAATGTGCGGTCCAGGTGACGTGCAGAAGGAGGGGCGTGTATGTGTGTACGTTGAGCTTCTTTGGCACGGTACGTAGCGAACTGTGCTCATTGGGAGGTGCAGGGGGAGGGTGGAAGGACATCAAACTAAAACACTCAGTTTAACACGTAGACTTTCGCAACCAGTATTATTCATAATAAAGGTTTTTGGGTTTGATCGCGTTTATTTATAAATGTGTCACAACCCTCCACCACCCGACACGGCCAATCCGTAAAAAATGTGTCACGTTGACAAAAGACAAATAGTTCTACTTTAGCCCACTAGTGCAAATCGTCCAAAGATGCTGGATGTAATTTCCAGCGAAACGTCGTACTCAAATTGTCAATGTTGTGGATTCACTCTTCAGCACACCGGTCTTTTGTCCACGTGACACTTTTTTTTACCGATTGGCCATGCCGGTTGGTGGAGGGTTGCGACACATTTATAAATAATGCGATTTCACCAAAAAACCTTTATTATAAATTAAACACTAAAAGCAATTACAGGTAGTTCTCTACTTACGATGGAGATGCGTTACGACGACCCCATCGTAAGTCAAAATTATCGTAAGTCAAAGATGGCCTAGCCAACCCAGGCGTCTTTAAAGAATGGTGATAATTTAGCAAAACCGAGCAATTTACAGTACTGTACTGTATAAACTATATACTGTATGTATTAATTACAATACTGTACTGCACGGCCTCCCAACGTACAGTATCGTACCTCGTACGCTGCTGCGTTTGCCTGCCGCGCGAAAGTTAGAATATTTTACAATTTTGTCGTATCGCCATCGTAAGATTGAAATATCGTAAGTCGGACCATCGTAACTCGGTCTATCTGTATAAAGAAATTATAAAAGTACGGCCAAGTATTTGATTGGGGGGGGGTAGTCTGAGGGGAGTTGGGGGTCTGAGGTTAGGGGCCCACTGAGTGATGGAGGTAACCCCCATCCTGCGACCCCACCCCCCCACCGAGTTCCATATCTCCCATCAGTGTGGGTTCTGGGTTCCCCACCTCGTGACCAGAGGACCTTTTTGCAAGGAGCGAATGAATGACTCCCGCTGTGTTCCGTGTGCTATTTACGCTTGTAATGAACAGCCACAGCCTGGTCACGTGATGTTGACTCGGCAAAAATGTCTCCTCACAGTTGTTATGCCTGGCGTGGTCTTTTTTTCTCGTTGTCTGCGGAATGTTGTGGCGGTTCCGCCCCTTCACTGCTCCTTGCAATGGGAAACACGCTCGTGGCTAAATAGAAATGACACTTGAGCCTTAATTGTCTTTATGGTTCTCCCCCATGCCCCCTCTCCTTCTGCTTTTTGTTTTGTATTGGGCGAAAAGAGTTGTGGCTTTTATAAATTTTTGTATACATCTGCTTATTGTGTGCGGTGGCGGTGGTGGGAGAAGAGGGTGGGGGGGTATACGTGGATGATTTTATTTGGAGAACTCCCACCGCACGCAGTCATTGTGAAACGTTCGTGGTCGACATGGAATTAAATCGTTGTTGTCGGCCTTGATCGATCTGCTGCTAGACAAAGGGCCTCGAGCCATAGCCATTATTTTTTTGTTCCTCGTTGTTACTCTTGGTCTGGCTGATCTGGCTTCCCCCACCCCTGCCGTTGTGGTTGATGGGCGTCTGTCTCGGGCTTGCTCCTTCCCTCCCTCGCCCTGCTCTGTCCCTTTTTTTTACCCCCTCAGGCCAAACTCCAAAAGGCATGCCTGGGTCCTGGTATTTATGATCCGTCACTGGGATTACATTATATAGTCCTCGCTCTCCATGAAACAATCTTTTTGAGCAACCGGTCCAGATCGTCGCCCTGGCTTTAGCGGCCACGAGCAGGAATCGAACCTCGGGGAGCAGGAATCGAACCTCGAGCCGCCGGGTTAGTAGCGGCAGCACGCTCGCGCTAAAGCTAATCGCTCGCCACCACAAAACAAAGACAAAGATCCCCCATATAGCCGTGAATAGACTTTTGGGGCAAGCACTGTTAGAGCGCCTAATGAAGGCTGGTGCAGCACACGAGGGGGTGGGTGGCCAACACCGTTCCTGGCCACCTTTGTCTCCCCAGTGGCAGTGTTTCCACACTGCACCAGGTTACTCATTTTAAAGCTGAGTCGGCCTAGGGGATGCCCAGGACCGGTTCAGATAATCATCATTGGTGTTGGTGGCCATGAGCGGGAATCGAACTACGGGCCGCCAGGTTTGTAGCGGCAGCGCGCTAACCGCTAAAACTACCACTCCCCACCATCACAGTAGTCCTGTTACACTACGCATCCACTGCATTTGACCATACTCCACCACGCTGGTCATTGCGGATTTGGCGGGGGGGCAGGGGAGTTGTGCAGAACAATTGATGGTGCTGAACTGCCCACATTGTAGCCTATAACACCTGTGTTTTGTTCATGGAAGGGGTAGTGGATCACCCATCCGAGAAACGATCTAAGCTCAACTCCTGACCAAGGCTTGGCCTGCGGACAGGGGTGTGTGCAAGACCATGTCTCCAATATTCTTTATAATCTTGGTCCAAAAGTTCCACAAACGATTGTGTTTTGGGGGGGGGTTGGCATGTGCCCAAAAAAATGTCGTGACCTTGCTTGGCTTTCCCTACACTTTGCACTCCCTATCGTTTTTTAAATCCTTTATATTAAGTTCGCGTGCTTGCTTGCTTGCTTAGGACCGTGCAAATCTTTCGCTCGTTTTTTAACCCACTTCCCATGATCCAATCGAGCTGACATTTGTGTGTGACAATTAATTTTCGTGAAATTTTTTTCCCAAAATTTTACACTGTTTAGGGAAAACTAATTAAATATTTAATTACCAATTGCTTAATACTGGCAGACAATCATCTGACCCATAGATTGCAGCCATCTCAAGCCAGAGGACGAGAGAACTCTAGCCGCCACGCATATAAAGGATTTAGAGTGAAAAACTTTGTTTTTACGGGTTTACTTGTTTGTAGTGCACTTCACGTGGCATTAAACTGCACCTGACCTGGCACAGGTGCCGTGGTGAAGGTCACCGTCGCTTGGTGGCGAATTGGCGGGTATTGGTGCTCGTGGAGTTTGTATATTCTCTCTCTGTTCTGCTTGGGTTTCCGCCAAATTCTCCAGTGTCACAACGTAGGTCGTGCCGTTTATTGCTGGCCGTTTGCAAGTGGATTCATGCGACGCACCTCCGACTCTTGCTTTGAAAAATATGGGAAATAAACACTGCCCATAGACTCCACACTGCACCTCCTATTAGCACGCTTTGCTGCGTGTGGTGCAAAAAGTTCTACATACATATGTTGTGAGTTCAACTGAGTCGTAGACGTATTCTTTGGAGGAAACACATTTATTAACACCAACACATGGGGTAACTGCCCCTTAACAGAATAACAACCTATGGTGGTGACTACCAGGATAACTACACTAATTATACCGTAACTAGCTACTACGGACCGGGACCACAGCTTGGGTCCAGGTCCACGTGTTGGAAACTCGGAGAACGTAGACGGAGGTTTTTTCAGGCTGAACAACAATGCCGGTCTCTCTGGGGGACCCGGCTTATATTCTCTGCGGCGTGGCTTGCTCCGCCCTTGGCCATGACCACCTTCCAGAACCCTCTAGCAGGATCTCAACCCGGACCACGTGACCACCCCCAGCCCCCCACTTGGGGCCCCTTTGTAGACTTAATTGTTCACGTGTCCTCTTGGGTCAGCCGGAGTGCATGGCCTCCAGTAACCCATTCCCTATGGCCAGCACTCTCTCATCCGATCCTCTAGGGCTGGCATTGCACGCCAAGTGTGATGCCATCCAGCGGTATCAATCAGCACTGACCAAGCCCCTCAGGGGCCGGTACTGCACCCACATCCTCGTGTGTCCGCGATGTCAATACACCGCACGCCATGCATCTCTAGAGCCGGCATCACACGATGACATCCCGCAATGTCACTACACGTACATGAAAACCTCTTCACATATACATAATTTGGGCAACAGTTCCTCCGTGATTGTGCGAGGTACTCGTTGCTGGCTCTATTAACTGCCAGATCGGCTGTGAGTCAGCGGGTTCCGCTCGCTTGCGCTCTCGCAAGCCGTTCATTAATTCCCATGCTGGAGTTTGCTAAGCACGGTGACTGTTGTAGAGTGAATGTTTTAAAGCGCTCATCTGCGCTGCACGTAGGCAGGGCGGGGGGCATTTTCCGAAACGTTGCATAGTTACCAAATTTTTGCCATTTTTTTTAAAAGGAGTGTTACGTGACGTATTATAATACTAATTATTATTGTTACTCTCATTTACTAAGGGATCGACTAAATATATCCACATGCTGAGACTTGATGAATATCACATAGGTTGTCTATGATGACGGCCGAAATAATAAACAAAACAAATCCGGAATCGGTGAATGTTTCTACACACGTTGAACTTTCTTCGCACCGTCCATAGCGGATGGGGCAGTGTTGAGTCTATGGGCAGTATTAATCTATGGGGAGTGTTAGTCTATGGGCAGTATGAATGTTTGTTGAACTTCTTTCGCACCGTACGTAGCCGACCGTACAAAATCGGAGGTGCGATTACTGCTGTGTAAATGTTTTGTGTAGCATGCGCGCTCACGCACGTGTGCCTCAGTGTATGCCTCAGTGTATGCCTCAGTGTGTGTGCATGTGCACACGCAGCACTGTGGACCCAGCGACCGCAAGATCGATTCCCGTTCGCGGCCACCAACGATGACGATTATCTGAACCAGTCCCGGGCCTCTTCTAGGTTCACTCATCCTAAAATTAGTACCTGGTGCGGTGTCTTAAAACATTACCACTGGGGTAACCAAAGGCGGCTAGTGCATGGTGCTGACCACCCACCTCCCTCTTGTGCCGTGCCGGCCTTCATAGGTGCCACTCGCTAATAACACTTGCCCCAATAGTCTGTTAAAGGCTACGCGGGGGAATCCTTTGTATTTGCAGAACGATGCTGCGTGTGCTGTTGCTGCTGTGCGTGGTGTGCGCTACACGTCTGGTGGCGGGGCGGTCCGTCCCGCTGCTCCCTCCGCTCTCTAAGTACATGGCCAACTACGTCAACACGCTGGGCACCACCTGGCAGGTGAGGAAGAGGGTACCGTACTGCTCGCCGCTCGCGCACACTGCTCGCCGCTCGCACTCCCTGTACAATTCCTGCACTTGCCCCTCCCACACACACACACACTCCTCGGTCACCGGACCCGTGGGGCCCCCTCCAATGCTGCTGTGCTCCGCGTCCCAACCGGCGCCGCTGCTGTTTGCCGCATCGCCTCGGCAGCGGTAGCGCTCGTCATGTTGAAACCCGCGAGCCAAGTGCCCTAAGCGACGGTGCTGCCTGGCTAGAGAGCGCAGTGCCTTTCCCCAGTATGTGTAGGTGCCCTTGAAGTTTTCTTGTAAATATTTAAGCTAACTAAGCACTGGTAACATTCACAGGCAGTATAATAATATAATGTTATAATATTGTTAATATAGCGGGCGGCATGTAAACAACATTAAACTAAAAGAATATATTTTACCCGTTACGGCCCACTAAGCCTGTGTAGCTCTTTATCAGAAGCAACAACGAAGTGGATTATCACGTGGAATTTTATAGCAGCAGCTATCTACTCTTAAGCGCGTGGTGTTGATTGTAAATGTGGAGGGGAAAAACCGGAGGACACGGGAGAAAAATCCTCGCGACCACAGGGAGAGCGAGAGACTGCAGCCCTCGGGGTCGGGATCTCGAACCCACGACCTTATGTATACCCGGGGAGGTCATCTAACCACCGTGGTGCCCTATAACCGAGACCCATCATGGCCCCACGTCCTCTTCCCCGCCTCTTGTGTTCCGCTTCTCCCGTCGTCTCGCCATAAAATTCTGGGCTCGATAAAAAAGCCCGACGGCATCTTGCGTGGCGAGCGCTGAAATTAATCATGAACTTCGTCCAACAAAAACGAATCGTGACTGAATCGCCGGCGTGCCGCATGTCGTGACCCTACACCCCCCACTCCACCCCCACCCCACCCCCACCCCCCATTCGCACGCATGTGTGGTGGGACGCAGGCGGGCCACGCGTTTGACGGCGCGTCTGTGGAGGACGTGCGCAGGTTGTGCGGCACCGTGCTGGGAGGGCCCAAGCTGCCGACACGGTCAGTGGAGTTCCCCCCCCTCCCCAACTCACCGGCCGTTCTCCTGGACACAGGGTGATCCCCAGCGGATGATAACGGCCCCACAAGCCCTCCGCTTGTCCGTGATTTCTGCTCGTATTGTCGCTTCGCGGCATTTTTTTAGAGGGAACTGATTTTTTTTCTACAAATTTGGAAAGGGGTTTGAGTAACTTTGTTGTGCCCCTTTTATGCACGCCGCAGCCAAGGATGTCGCTCGAGGATAATGTGGACATGAACGGCGGGGAGAAGGGAATTGGGTTGAGCCCACCTCAAGCCTATATAACCTCTTGTTGCAGCAGCTCTTTCTCCTGCCTCAGCAGTTCTGCTGCTGTTGTTGGTCTCATCTGATCACGATTGCTTGTGTTGCGATCGAAACGTCGTAGTCTATTAATTTCCTATCTACGTGACTTTACCGAAAGAACCAAAGAGTAAAGGAAAGGAGATAAGGGAGAAAAGGGCTTGGGTGAGGTGAGGAGAGGGAGGAAGGAAGAGGCTGGCATCGCAGATTCGACGACGCCACTGCACTGAGGAGGAGCGGCGTCTGTTTTCACCGCGGGCGGCGGGCAGAGGGGTCTGGAGTGGGGTGGCGGCCTGCACAAAAGTCGCGTGCTTTTTACGGAATCAAAATCTTTATTTGTCCAGGAGAAATCCGATGAGCCACGAAACTGGTGTAGAGAGAGAGACCATAATACAGGCGTTTTTTTATGTTTAATGTGTTGTTAAACTCGCCACCATCCGACACAGCCAATTAGTAAGGGTTTGTCATGTAAACAAAGTGTGGCCAATTCGTTACGAGTTTAATGGGTTCAATCGGGGCGCACACTAGGACTTGGAGGCAACACTGTTTATTAACCAACATCACATCACCGACGACCGAACCGAATTTTCACACGCTGCAGTCTATTGGTCTGGATCACGTCGACCGGCCCCCGCCAGGGCTTGTACCAATTGGAACTTGAGGGAGATGCAGCCAAGCCTTGTCACCTGGCGACCAAGGCTTGCCAGACAGGTGAAGCCCCCTCAACTGCTCATTGCCTGACTGCTGTAAGGGCGAATTTTCCTTTGAGGCCTCCCGCGCCTCAGACACTCGTTGAAGAGTAAGGCGTATAGGCGCAGGCATGCTACTGCTGACCTTGCCCGGTCCCAAGTGTAGTTGGACGTCAATAGGGGGGTCCTGCTTCCTCCCATATATAAAAAAAACTGTGAATATCCAATGGAAGCGCGAGGGGCCATTCTGTAGGCCGTAAGGAGCCCAGGGATGTGCAAGTTCCAGTCAGTTTGGGACTCACAAACCTGCTGACTCAACATGGAAGTAATGGTCCTATGCAGGCATTCTACCATCCCGTCAGTCTGGGGATGATAGGGCGATGTCCGTACTTTCTTCATACCCAACAAGTCACATGCCTCTTTCAATAATTTGGAAGAAAAATGTTTTGCCTTGATCAGTGAGGAGGCGCTTATCCAGCACATACCCATGAAGGAACGTCTCGGCGATAACCGTCGCCGACTGATTGGGGAGTGGCCAGGCCATAGGCCAGCGGGAAAAATACTCAACGCCAACCAACCAGTTCGTTTGTGGGATACTTGAATGGATTGCAAATGGGAACAACCCAATTTAGGTAGGGGTTTGCCACACACCTTTTGAGCATTATGGCAACGTCCCCTGCCATCCCAGGCCAAAAAAAATTTAGTTAATGGTTACGAGCGTCTTATGTACCCCAAGGTGCAGCAGTCATTCATGCACCGCCCAGATGATTCTGCCGCGCAGGGCAGTGGATACTACGATAGCATAACGGCGCAACCCGCCGTCCCAGTACATCAACAATCCCTCCTAAAGGATGACAGGGGCAACCACCCTACCTCAGCGTCCCAAACACGCCTCCGCAGTTTCAATAAGAAGGCGTCCTCCACCTGCAGGCGCCCCTATTCTGCGTGGTCGAGACCAAGGGTGGTATCGCACCTTTTTAGGACCCCCTGGAATGTCAGAGCCCACACCCCCCACGGACGCGACAACCGTCGGAGATACGGCTTCGACAGGCAGCTTACTGCGCCCCGAGCCGGAAAGGCATGCGCACTCATCGCGTGGTGGTAACCGCGAAAGCGCGTCTGCATTCGTATGGCTCGAACCCTTTTGATACGAAACTTTAAACGAATAGTCCTGGAGGATCTCCAACCATCGGGATAGCTGGCCGGATGTTTATTCAATGCGCAGCGCGTACTGAAGGGCGGCGTGATCAGAACTCCTCAAAGGTCATCCTATAGAGGTACGGCCGATATTGCTGCAAAAAAGAACACAATGGCTAGCAATTCCCGGCGCGTGACACAGTAGCGCTGCTCGGTCGAGGACAGCACCCTGCTGCTGTACGCGAAGACACATTCTACCCCATCCACCACTTGAAACAGCACGGCGCCAATGCCAGTGATGCTGGCGTCTGTGTCCAAGACAAAGGGAAGTGAAAAATCTGGGTACCGGAGGGGCGGGGCGATAGTAAGACACGAACCCAATAAAGCTGCGTACTTCACCCACCGTCTTGGGAGTCGGCCAAGCGCGCACGAACGCAGTCTTATCGGGGTCGGTGGCTATTCCCGACCTGCTAACGATGTACCCCAGGTACCGCACCCACTTCTGCAGCAGATGACATTTTTGCAGCTTGAATTTGAGGTTCGCCGCCCGCAATAAAAAAAAAACCGCACGTAGCCGTTTCAAGTGCTCCTCGAACGTGCGACTAAAAACAATTGCATCCTTTAAGTAGATCAAACAAGAACCCCACTGTAGGCCCGCCAAAATCAGTTCCATGAGCCGTTGGAACGTCGCTGGAGCCGAGTGGAGGCCCATAGGGAGCCGTGTGGTGTACGGAAAGCAGTTTTCGGTTTAGAAACATCATCCAAGGGCAATCGCCAGAACCCTGAAAGCAGGTCAAGAGTAGAGAAATATCTCGCACCTGCCAACGCTTCTAGCGAGTCATCCATTCTCGAGAGGATACGCGTCAGCCACAGATTTTATTTAATTTGCGGAAGTCAACGCAGAACCGTAGACTTCCGTCTGGCTTCTTAACAAGAACTATGGAAGCGCCCCACGGACTGCCTGATGCACTTGTTTTCTGTGGGGCTTAACCTGTAGGGGTTTGGACGGATTGGAGCAGCGCCACCCATGTCAATGTGGTGGTTCAAAAGGGTGGCCCGGCTGATATCGTATTTGCTTTTACTGAAAACGTCAACAAATTCAACCAAGAGCAAGTGCAACTCTGACCTCTAGCCATCCGATAAATCGGGGTTCTCCGAGCAGAGCGCATTTATCCAACTCCCATCATCCCCGACCCTTGTTCCTTGGACCCCACAACCCCTACTTCCCCAACAAAATCACCCTTATAATCCGCTACAGACATGTGGGCCAACAGTGCCCGCCTGCACAACAGACGCATCCGGCCCCGCATTCAGGACCTGATTGAAGGGTACACAGTCGTTGGACACCAGCGTTTGTGCTCCCACGCGTCAGATCCCGAGCCACTTTATTAGATGGTGTGAGCAGGATTCCCTCAGCGGTCGCCTGTTTATCAAGTTGGTCCCGCAGCCGCAAGGGGATCAGTATTCGTTTTTGTCGCCAGCACCCGAACCGTGGCATTAACCATACGCAATCGAGTGGGGGAAGCCAAAAAGACCATGCGACGGCCCGATGGCAGTTCCAGGCACCCTTGATCCACTAAAATTTTAAGGTGCATTTTCCCCAAGAAATCGGTGTACAATAAACACGGTATGGCAAGGGAAGTTGAAACTAACACCGGTCCTGTCAATTGGATGTCACCGATGCACACCATTGCTGTTATTTGGCCAATCATTCCGAGGGAGCCACCGTTTGTGGCAAAGCACGGAGCTGTAACCGGACAAAGGTCCTGAACCGTGTAGGGTAGGATGTTAAAAATCAACTGAAATAATAGTAGCGGATGCTCCGGTGTCTGAGTACCCGTACCTCTACCCCTTGTACTTGCCCAACAACGGCCGACGTCCCCGCCCCTGCGACGACCACAGGGTGAGCCAACTCCGACTACTGAGCAGGGTGGTGTGACCAGCCATTTTCCCGTACAACCGAATCATCCTGCCCTGCAACCAACCAAGAACGTGCCCTGCGAGAACGCGAACCGACAACCTAACGGGATGAATGAAGTGGATGTAAGGGTCGAATGTGAGGTGAGCCATGACTCGCCTTAGAACCAAGCAGGCCTGGGGACATCCGCAGGGATGACAGCGACGGCCCAGAGAATCTCGTCCCAGCAGTGCGGCATCCTGTCGAAATGTGTCCCGGCAGACCGCAATCGTAGCAGAGGACGGAGCCGCTCCCCATGCGAGAAGAGGTCCCCTGCCGTCAGTTGGGTTCTCCCTACTGCTCTGAGGCGCCCCTCCGCTAGCCGCCGTCGTTGACCGAATTGCACGCTTGAGCGGGCTCCACTTCTTTGGTTGCACCGCACATCTCAGAAGGTGCGGTACACGCCACCACTTGCGTACGCTGTTTCAAATTCAATGTGCTTGAATGCACTGGGAGATCTTAAGGGACGATAAATAGTCTTTTTCCATTGCTGGCAGGGCAACATTAAGCTCCTTCGCCAAGGCCAGCATACATTCCAACACCAACGACTCCAAGCCAGCTTGCTCCATCTTGGGAAAAGCTGCTTGTGCTAACGACAGTACGCTGAGGCAGGCGAGAGGTGTCTCGGCCTCCCCCCGCCTTCGCGCAGCGAACTTCTGCCGAACATTAAACACATGGACCCACACACACACATCGACTTGCACACATACATCAACCCACAGCCGGTATGCACTACTATAATCAAAGCAGGTGAACCACAGTCGGTATGCACTGCTGTTATCATAACAAGAACCAGAACAGTCAGTATGCACTGCTGTAATCATAGCAGGTCCCACCACAGACAGTATGCACTGCTGTAATCATAGCAGGTCCCACAACAGACAGTATGCACTGCTGTAATCATAGCAGGTACCATCACAATCATGCACTGCTGTAATCATAGCAGTTACCACCACAGTCGGTATGCCCTGCTGTAGTGAAAGCAGGTGCTGCCACAGTATGCACTGCTGTAGTGAAAGCAGGTACCACCACAGTCGGTATGAGACCTTGTGCTTCGATACGAAGACAACACCATCACACGATTTCCTGACAAGTCAAGCATATAATGCCCTACAATACCCCATTTTACTTTGGCAATTCCAAGACGGGTACCCCATCCAGATTCCTCAAATTATCAAAGATACATGACAAAGGCATCCTCACAAAACTGTCTCCTCTAAAGAATGTTATTCCTTCATTATGGACAGAGAAGGAGGAAACCACATTACGGTGCGCCAACCTCTTCAACTCAGTATGTTTTCGATTTGTGCCAAAATTGAGAGTGCACCTTTACATTCAACTTAATTAAAAAACGCCTGCGTATGGAACAGCGCTCATCTCAGGGAGACTATCAATGCTGACATACATGCGAACGCTCATAATGTGGGAAGATTAGTTATTTTGCCTTCATCCACCACAGGTGGACCGAGATACATGCATGAGAAGACTCAGGATGCCATGACGTACATCAGGCAATATGGCAGGCCCCATGTTTTTATCACCTTCACTTGCAATCCTAAATGGAAGGAGATCCAGGTTGAGCTTTATCCAAACCAAAAGGCAGCAGACACGCGTGACATCATTGCAAGGGTCTTCAAACTCAAAGTTGACGAACTCCTGAAGCTTATTACGACTAAGGAAGGCGGTGTCTTTGGAAAGACAACATGTAACTTGCACACCATTTGAGTGGCAATAACGTGCTCTTCCTCATGCTCACATTTTGCTGTGGATGACAAACAAATTCATGCAAGTGACATTGACACATTTGTCAGTGCTGAGCTACTTGACCCCCATCAAGAACCTGCCCTATTTGATGTGGTCTGCAAGCAAATGGTCCATGGCCCATGTGGGCATTTCAATCTAAATTCGCCATGTATTCAAGACCGCAGGTGTACCAAGAAGTATCCACGCAACTTCTTGAAGACACTCAATTCAGGCCATGATGTCTATCGATATCGTCACAGAAATACTGAGCATGGTGGATTTTAAACAACACTCAGACCTGCCCCACGAACTCTGAAATGAAGGTTGACAACCAGTGGATCACCCTCTTCTGTGCAAGATCTTCGAGGCCCACATTAATGTGGAATTCTGCAATTCTGTGCAAGCCATCAAATGTTTGCAAATACATCAACAACAGCTCTGACATGCCTGTCTTTGCCTTACAAAAATAGGGGCAGAGTGTGGATGAGGTTAAACTTTTTGTCCAAGGAAGATACATCAGCAGCAATGAGGCCATTTGGATAATTCTTGGCTCCCCCATCCATGAGCGTTCCCCCACAGTCGTCCATTTGGCAGTTCAACTCGAAAATGGTCAACGCATCTACTTCACCAAATGAAATGACCAACAGGCCCTGGCTCCACAAGATACCACCCTGATGGCGTTTTTTGTTTTGTGCCAAAATGACTCATTTGCTGCCAACCTGCTCTAAAAGTACAAATGTGTGTGTGTGTAGGTCTGTGCGTGTCTTTTTTCCCCAGGCAACGCCGGGTACTTTCCGTTATTAGGTTTCTATGTACGTCAGTTTAGCGAAAGAAGCAAGAAATACTAATTATTAATGTAATATTTGCAAGGTGATTATTTAAATAATATTTTTCTATCAACGTGAGTTTAGCGAAAGAAGCAATAAAATTGTACTTAACATGGCCGTGGTAAGGCCTAGTCCCGTGCAGAGCCCCCGGCCTCGCCTAGATTGCCCAGCCTGCTGAGGTGGCACCTTGGCAGGTTGGGGCTGGGCTGCTACTACCCCCCCCCCCAGCCACAATCCTCCCGCCTGCTCTGCAGTAATATCTATGGCCTATAGTGGTAGCATTTACGGACTCTATAGTAGTAACTGCAAGCATCGTTTTGCGTAATTTTATTGCATTTTTAACACTCAAGAAAATGTCCCCATCACCCCCACCGATCGCGTGTGACTTGGTAGTGGCCGTCTCCCCACCGAAGGCGTGTGAGTTGGTATGGTCGAGCGCGTGTAATAAATAAATAACGATGCATCTCACTAAATCGCTAATTTAACTACTTTAAAGTTGAGGGATGGGAAAAAGCAATACCGCTTGCTCACCATGGGGCTTACGGCGTGGTACCTGGCTATTTTTAAAAAATGTAAACCCCACCGTTTGAGAGCCAAAGTGTGCGAACACACACACACACACACAAAAAATGACATTTATAGGTAAGCATGTCCAGTAGGGTAAGAACGTTACAACAAAAACAAACCGTACAAAAACATGATTGAGTGCAAAGTACAAGAAAGGTAAACAAATGACAACTGGCCTCATCAGGCCACAGACAGAATTGTGGAAAAATCCTCCTGTTTATGCGATCCAACCCAATAACCTTCTCATTATGCATAGTATTCGGTCGTGAAAGCCCCCTACTACTACGTGTTAGAGAGAGAGAGACTCGTGGTGCACGGAGGTCCGCGTAACCTTCTCGGCCGTTAACCTTGGTGTGCTGGTCCGGAACGGTTGTGAAGTTAAATCAAGTTCAGGATCTTTCGATTTAAAGCTTTCGTGACTGCAGGGATTCATCTTATTGGTTCTTTCGGTAAAGTCACGTAGAAGGAAAATAATAAAATAATAAAAATAAAACATAATAAAATAATTCTCACGACGTTTCGGCCACAACGCAAGCAGCCGTCTTCAGGTGGAGAACAGGTCTGTCGAGAAGGCAGAGTCTGAATGGCACGCCCCAGGCTTGGAGCGACTTTATGCTGGGATGGAGGGGCGAAGAGCGTCTTGACAAAATAATATGCATATCAAGAGGAATTTAGCATATTTATGGGAAATGCAGATATGCGATTAGTACTACTTGTGAAATGCGTAGGAGGTTTGGCGAGGGGTTGAAAGTCATTATGTCCATGCATGATACTGCTAATCCTGCATAATGCATGGGCATAATGACTTTAAACCCCCTGATGTGGTATGGGACGACGTGGAGCCGAGTGGACTGGCCGATAACTGGTACCAGTGGTGTCAAGATCGACCTCTGTGAAAGAGGCTCGTGAAGGATGCTACCTGGGTCTGCCCCGTGATTTCCTGCCAACGGTCGTTTGACACTTCACATGGCCTCAACGTGCACACAGCCTGGTACAAACGCCATGGTGACGTCACCACCACTTAGTGGCGAATGGCGGTGGTTATCGCCGTTGTTGAGTGACCTTTAGTCAGTCCACCCATGGCATCTGGGTCTGTCCCGTGATCTCTTGCCAGCGGGCATTCGACACTTAACGTGGCCTCAAAGTGGACATAGCCTGGCACAAGCGCCGTGGTGATGGCACTGCCACTTAGTGGCAGTGCCATCACCACTGCTGCGAGTGATTGTGTCATGTGTGTGCTTAAGAGAGCACATGTGTAATGATGTGTGTACGTGTCTGTAGTGGAGCGGTCGGCACGCTGCGCTACGAACCCGACGACCAGAGTTCGATTGCCACTCGCGGCCACCAACACCAGTGACGATTATCTTTAATCGGTTCTGGGCCTCCTCTAGGTTGGCTCAACCTCAAATGAGTAACCTGGTCTGGTGTGTAAACATTGCCACTAGGGAGACAAAGGCAGTCGGGCATGGTGTTGGTCACCTACCCCCTCGTGTGCACTTGGCCTAAAAGTCTGTTAAGGCTATATGGGTAGGGTGGACAGACTTTGTGTGTGTGTAACGCGTGTGTTAATTGGTTGTGTGTGCAGCACACACAAGGTGTCCCAGAGCTTGCCCGACAGCTTTGACGCACGCACGCAGTGGCCCAACTGCCCGACCATCGGGGAGCTGCGCGACCAAGGCTCCTGCGGCTCCTGCTGGGTACGCACGGACACACGCACGGACACACGCACGGACACACGCACGGACACACGCACGGACACACGCACGGACACACGCACGGACACACGCGCGGACACACGCGCGGACACACGCGCGGACACACGCGCGGACACACGCGCGGACACACGCGCGGACACACGCGCGGACACACGCGCGGACACACGCGCGGACACACGCGCGGACACACGCGCGGACACACGCGCGAACACGCACACTCGCGTGTGTGCACACACACGTGCACGTACACATGCGTATGCATATACGGGACAAAGATGTGTCGTATAGCCTTAATAGACTGGGGCAATTGGAACCTCATTTGCCAGTAAAAAAATATGTTAATTGGTTTTTTACCCTTCTATTTGGCGACAAAACTGACAGCTTGTTTGCATAGACCACAATACCTGCAGTCATAATGCAAAAAAATACATAACTCTGATAATGTATGCACTGTCCTTGAAGTTGATTGGTCCACACCCGAGACAGCTTTCCTTAGAGCCTAGTCTCACATGGGTTGGACCAGATGACGCGAAAAAGCGCACAACGCAAAGACAATGCACCATCAGAGTATGAGAGCTCGGGGTAAGAATTTATACCATTGGAACCTCATTTGCCAATAAAAAAATATGATAACTGGTTTTTTACCCTTACCCCGAGCTCTCATACTCTGATGGTGCATTGTCTTTGAGTTGTGCGCCTTTTGGCGTCATCTGGTCCAACCAATGTGAGACTAGGCTCTAAGGAAAGCTGTCTCGGGTGTGGACCAATCAACTTCAAGGACAGTGCATACATTATCAGAGTTATGTTTTTGTTTGCATTATGACTGCAGGTATTGTGGTCTATGCAAACATGACTCCTTGTAAAAAAGGTGTCAGTTTTGTTGCCAGATAGAAGGGTAAAAAAACAATTATCAGACTGGGGCAAGTGCTGATAGTGAGCAGCACCTATGAAGGCCGGCACGGCACACGACGGGCTCGGTGACCAGCACCATGCCCGGCCCTCGTGGCGCCCAGTTTTTGGTGGCGACTCGCCGCGTGGCTGCTGCCTCCCTTGTTCGTCTGTGTTTCCTCCTCCACTTCGTGCCTCCGGGTCGTTCTCTCTCTCTCCGAGAGTGAGCGAGCGAATACTGCGCAGCGGTGTCACGGTGTTGCAAGTTCACGTTTTTATTATCGTCATTTAATGATACTCCTGTGCAGCTTGCATGCTGGACCTCCTCACCGTTGACACGTGGTGTGTTCACGCTCGTTACTTCTCCCCGTGTGTCTGCGTGCATGCATCTCCCCCCCTCCCCTTCCCTGTGTGTCTGCGTGGGTGTATCTCCCCCCCCCCTTCTCCTCGTGCAGGCGTTTGGCGCCGTGGAGGCCATGTCTGACCGCTTCTGCATCCACTCGAAGGGCCAGGTGAACCCCCACGTGTCGGCCGAGGACCTGCTCTCCTGCTGCGATGAGTGCGGCATGGGCTGTGATGGCGGCTACCCCTCCCAGGCCTGGAACTTCTGGACCAGCGCCGGCCTGGTCACCGGCGGCCAGTACGGCAGCGGACAGGGTAACCTGTCCCTTGCTGCAACCCTCGGCTTTGTCTACCATGGCCCGCCCTGATTGTGGCCTGGTCTGGCCTGCCCTGGCTTGATCTAACATTACTTGGTCTCCCCTGACCTTGCCTGACCTCACCTTCCATTCCCTTGAGTTGATACAATTTGATACGTTCCTACGGCTGCTCATGTGCGACCGTGTGTGGAGGTGTGACGATGGTGTGCGCTTGCCAGAGTGCGACGCTGCGTCCTGGTGTGCATGTGTTTTCAGCGAGCGTGACTTGCGCGGGGCGAGTAGCGGTGTGGCGATGTGTGTGTGATGCGGCTTGCGGTGTGACTCCGCTCGTGTGACTCCGCTCGTGTGACGCTGCTCGTGTGTGACGCTGCTCGTGTGTCACGCGCTGCAGGGTGCCGCCCCTACTCCATCAAGCCGTGTGAGCACCACGTGAATGGCTCGCGCCCGCCGTGCAGTGGGGAGGGCCCCACGCCCAAGTGCATGCACGAGTGCGTGCCAGGATACACGCCGCACTACAAGGCCGACAAGTACTTTGGTATGCGGACAAACCTGCACGCACACACGGACACATCTGCATGCCCGCGTGCAAACATATCTACAAACACAAAGACCCCCCCCCCCGCCTATAGCCTGAACAGTCTTTTTGGACAGGATGTTAACTACCTCGCCTGGTATACAGGAGGTCGTGGGGTCGTGGGTTTGTTCCCGAACCACCTGCTGTATATTTTGAGTTTGCGTGTTTCTCTCTCCCCATGGTAGCATGGATTTTTTCCAGGTCCTCCAGTTTGTCTCTCCACATTTCGAATCAACATCATGCCTTTAAGAGTATTTGGCTGTTACGTCGCTGCCAATTCATACAGTTTACAAGTACTATTGTACAAGGAAATAGTTTTCAAGTCCATATGACATACAGCCGTTTTAATACAGCCAAAAAATTTTCATCTATTTGTGGCCAACTAGGTCTGAACTGGCCTGTAATAATGTAGGCACTGATAAGGGGTTGGCAGGTATGCTGTTATAAATTTGCACGCGATAAGCCACTTCATTGAGCTATCATTTGTGGCCATGGCGTTTCTGAAAAAGAGCTACATAGCTCAGTGAGCCTATCCTGGTAAAATAAAAATAGTTTATAGTTTGGTTTATAGTTAACGAGCTCCTCCATGAAGGCTGGACCTGCACACGAGGGAGTGGGTGGCCAGTACCACGTCCGGCCGCCTTCACGCGCACGCCGACACATGCACGGCCACGACTGCTCGCGCGCGAACGTGCACGCACATCTACATGCACGCATGTATGCACATAAATATTTACGCGCACGCTTTTGTGCAGCGCGGGGGGTCCCCGTTCGATTCTTGTTTGGGGCCTAAACACCAGATGAATATCCACACCGGTCCTGAGCCTCCGAGGTCGACCCGGCCATCTTTAAACGAGTGCCCCGGTGCGGCGTGCGCCACAAGCATCGCCACCGGGGAGAAGAAGGCGGCCAGGCATGATACTGACCCCCCCCCACCCCATCGTAGGAGGTGCTACTCGCTTAAACGGCACTTGCCGCACCAGTCTGTTCAGGCTACACGGGGATCTTTGTCTTTGTTGGTGATGATGATAGTGGCGGTGGTGGTTGTGATGTTGAAGGGCCATGGGCTGGAGGTTTGTCGTTGGTGGTGAGCGTTGCTCTCAGCCGTCTCCCGAGACTCGGTGTCATCACTCACATGGCCATCACTCATGGGTGTCAACAATAACATCACCATCGCTTACATCTCCAACTCTTCCCCCCCCCCCCACCTTTGCGTGTGGTGTGTGTGTGGTGTGTTCGCGTTCGTGTGGTGCACGCGCGCGCGTCTGTGTGTGGTGTGTGTGGTGCGTGCGTGCAGGTAAGAAGGCGTACAACATCGACTCCGACGAGGGTCAGATCAAGCAGGAGATCTTCGACAACGGCCCCGTGGAGGCCGCCTTCACCGTCTACGCTGACTTCCCACAGTACAAGTCCGGTGAGTTCTGATTGTTATGTTTAGGCCAGACCGGAATAAAATGAGCTCTGAAGCTCTTTGAGTTTTCTTTGTTGTGTTTTCCTTTATTAATATTCTTTGGGTTTTTCGGTAAAGTCACGTAGGTTCCTTTTTGTTTTCCTTCGTTTTTTTCCTATTTTTTAAAACAATATAGTAACAAAAATGATAGCGGTGCAAAATAGGGAAAATGCTCAGCAAGAAGCCACTACGACCGAGTATATAGTACGGGGTAGACCCGTGTGATGTAAGAGAATAAAGTTTAGCTGGAAGCATATTATATTTTTTGCGACATAGAATTGTAATGTATTACTTACTGTTAATAGCTCAGCTTATTGGAGAGTATATTTAGTATACTGATGATACGTGGTGGTTTAGTTACTGCAGCTACATACTATTAACATTCCTTCCCTTTATTAATGCTTCCCCCTATCACTTCCCTTTGATGCTGCTAATCCTGCATAATACACGGGCAAAATATGACTTTAAACCCTCCGCCAAACCTCCTACGCATTTCACAAGTAGTACTAATCGCATATCTGCATTTCCCATAAATATGCTAAAATTCCTCTTGATATGCAAATTATTTTGTCAAGGCGCTCTTCCTCCTCCCTCCCAGCTTAAATAGACACTCCAAGCCTGGAGTGTGTCATTCAGACTCTGTCTTCTCGACAGACCTGTTCTTCACCTGAGGACGGCTGCTTGCGTTGTGGCCGAAACGTCGTGAGAATTACTTTATTATGTTTTATTTTTATTATTTTATTATTTCCATTCTACGTGACTTTACCGAAAGAACCAAGAAGATGAATCCCTGCAGTCACGAAAGCTTTAAATCAAGATATCCTCTTGAATAAATGTGTGTATATATATAACAAGGATAGGTACCGTGTTCATACAAATAGACAAAGTCGTGTCAGTCGTTTTTTGTCATAAGGTAAGAGAGAAATGAAACACAGGAGATGAACTTTTCAAGATTTTTGTTCATTGCAAAATTAGCAAATTGGCATCTTCATATGGTGTTGTTTTCCGCACATCTAATCTAAATATAGAGCAGCAGTGCAATGGGAGAACAAGGAAGCGTTGCTGTCCTATCGTTGATTGGAGACGGTTGTTTTTTTTTAAATTGGCTTTAGTGAGTGACTGCGGCGGCAGTAGTGACATGGGGCAGCAGTGCCAACCGTAGAAAGATATCACAGAAAGCCGACGAAACAATTGCCTAGGGCCTACTAGAACCGAAAGTACCTGAGGCCTACAAGAACCTTGATCCGGCCTACCCGCCCGCCCCCCCAATGGACATCTGTGAAGAAGAGCTTCGTAGCTCATCGGATTTCTCAAGGATGATAAATTAAGATTCTGTATTCCGAGTTCGAATCCCTTCTCCACGGCCACCACGACATCAGTGACAGCTATCTGAACTTGTCCTGAACCCCTCCCCTAGATCGATTCGGCCTTTAATGAGTACCTGGTGCAGTGTGTAAACATCATTACCGGGGAGACAAAGGTGGCCGGCCGGGTGTGGTGCTGGATAGCTCCCCCCGCGTGTACTGTGTCAGCCTTCATAGGGGCTGCTCGCCAACAGCACTTGCCCCAACGGTCTATTAAAGGCTATGGGGGATGTTTGTCTTTGTATGCTGTGGAATTTGACGCACGGTGGTGGTAGTCTGCAAGGGGGCTGTTGAGACGTGGTGGCATTGGTGGTGATGTGTAAGCGGTCTACACACATTGGTGACGTCCTGTAGGATTTGGTGGTGTTATTATTATGTAGGGATTGACACAGTGGTGATAGTGTTGTGGTTTTGGTTACATAGGAGTTAACACAGTGGTGTGTAGGGGTTAACTCTGTTGGTTGTGTAGGAATTGACAGTGGTGTGCCGGTGGTGGTTGTGGTGGTGGTGTGGTTGTGCTGCAGGAGTGTACCAACACGTGGCGGGCGAGGAGCTGGGGGGCCACGCCATCAAGATCCTGGGCTGGGGGGTGGAGGGCAGAGTGCCCTACTGGTTGGTAGCCAACTCCTGGAACGCGGACTGGGGCGACCATGGTAAGCACGCACACACACCACGCATGCCACATGTGTAGTGACATAAGAAGGGAGGGGCTGCTGGGGGCTCTGGGACCCTGAGCGGGCCAGGTGCTTAAGCCTCTTGGCGCCAGGCGTGGGTTCCCAGGCGGGTCAGACGCTTAAGCCTCTTGGCGTCAGGCGTTGGGTTCCCAGGCGTTTAATCCCCTTGGCGCCGCCAAAGGGGGGGGGCTGTGTGTGCTCTGTGGGATATCTGGGGGCGCACACGGCCCCACCCCTCGTTGGGGACTGGGCATAAAAGGGGAGCTCCCTGGACGATCAGGGCCAGTCGTAGCTCAAGACCCAAAACACAAGACCAGCCATCTGAGGACCCTGGGACGCTGTGAGAGCCAGTGGTGGGACTCTGGAACTCCCGACTCTACGACCTTGTGAGGCCGACTTCCAGAGCGTAGCCAGAGTAGTGTACCGAGGCTGTGTACCTGGGAGTTGTTACAGAGTATCAGGACTGTTGGACTGTTGAATCGTAATAAAGAAGTTACCTCTACAAGTGTCTCCGGAACCCGTTACACATGCACGCACGCACACACACACACACACCACGCACACCCGCCATGCGCCACTAAGTGACCCCGTGGCTGTGACGTTACCTCAGCGCTTGTGCCAGGCCAGGTGCATTTTGAGGCCACGTGAAGTGTCGAAGGCTCGCTGACAGGAGGTCTCGGGACAGACCCAGCAGGTCCCATGGATTGGTTGACTGAGATGACCGGTAGTTGCACCAACTGTACCCCCTACTCTGCCAACTTGCTGCATTTTAGCCGCTCGGCGCTCCGCTCGTTGATGTGAGCGTCGCTCCTCTGCTCTCCGTTGTTGCTGGAGAGCGACTGCCTCCATCTGCCCAGTAGCAGCGTCCTTCACGAGCCTACTCCATCGCACAGGGACACACACTGGTGCAAGGACACGCACGACATCCAGACCATGCACACGCCATGTACCACACACACCACGCACCACAGACATGCAGACTGCATAGTCGCGCACATACACCAACGTACGCTCACATATGCACTCCGCCAGACACAAATGCATGCACAGGCGTGCACTGACGCAGCGTGACACACGTGCAGATGCATACGCAGTGCAACACGCTAACATACCGCCAAACGTGTGGGTACACTACCGATGCGGGCTCGCACACGACACGTGCCGACACACGCGCACACCAAAGTATACCCTCCAACAACAACAATAATAACAGCCTCCAATTCACCGCTAAGCGAAAGTGATGTCTGCGCAACCGCGTGTGCCAGGCTAGGTGCACTTTTGAGACTTTTACGTGAAGTGTGGAAGGCTCACTGGCAGGAGGTCATGGGACACTTTTCACACAAACACAATATGGACAAAGGTTCCCCTTATAGCCCGAATAGACATTTGGGGCAAGTACTGTCAGCATGCACCTATGATGGCTGGAACGGTCCCCGAAAGAGTGGGTGGCCAGCACCACATCCGACCATCTTTGTCTCCCCAGTGCCGATGTTTACACACCATGGCACAAGGTACTCAATTGAGCCTGAGTCGACCTAGAGGAGGAGGCCCAGGATCGGTTCAGATAATTGTCACCGGTGTTGGCCGTGAGGTGGGAATCTAAACCTGGGATGCCTGGGTTTGTAGCACAGCGAGCTAACTGCTACACTACCACTCCCCACAACGGCAAAGATCACACGCAACAACCGTACACAAACGTACACCACCACCAAAATGCCCCAATGGATCCTTCGGCACAGTTCGCTACAAACACACAGTGGGGCAGCGGAGAGGGGGGTTGTTGATGGACAAAGACAAAAATGAACTAAAACAGCGGTTTGGGTGTTCACTCGCCCCTGATTGTGTGCGTGTGTGTCTTTGTTTTTGTGTGTTCCTCATGGCTGGTCCTCCGGTTAACAGGCTTCTTTAAGATCCTCCGCGGGAGCAACGAGTGCGGGATCGAGGACGAGATAGTAGCTGGGCTGCCCAGCCTGGGCTGAGCGCAGCAATGAGCCCCGGTTGGGGGAGTGGGGGGGATGATGGAGTGGGTGGCAGCAGGGGAAGCGGGGTCAAGACCATTGGGCCCGGTCTGGTGACGGCCGGCGTGAACGCCGGGGTCTTTCCGCACATCCATCGTCGCTGCTGCTGTTGTTTTAAAGTGCAGGTTTCCCTCGCTCTACACTGGTAGTAGATACTTTCCAATAAAATCGGCGTGCTAAGGAGAAACGGCATGGCTTGGCACCGCAGAGTCGCCCAACCCTACAATGTGCTGCACGCATGAGGGGACATGGCTGGCTGCGTGTCGAGCTGCGTGCAACGTTGTCCCACGTCCAGCCACTTGGCTGACTTATGCGTGTGAATTCGGACGATTTTATCCGCAGATGTCCCACTGGACATTTTGATAGAGACTTCGTAGCTCGTTGCATTCCTCCAGAATAACTATACATATTCAAGATTCTGATTATTCAAACTGCGTTTAATAATATTGTGGAATTTTGGGTATGAGGTGGGCTGGTCGCGTGTTGACATGTATGGCCTGAAATTTCACGGACCGGATCCACATTGAGCGTGGGAAACCTGTAAGAAACCCTTATGTCGAGTCGTCTGTAGTCCGTAACGTTTTGCCAAATTTTTTACTGGCGGTCCTCGTTTTAAAAAAGACAAATTTCTGGTTTAATAATAAGGGGTATGGTGCAAATAATAAAGTTTGTGTGGATATTTGTTTTAATTGTCAAATGTTGAATGGCGTGTGTAAGCGCGTGTCAGATCGGTGTGGGGAGCGGTAACGTAGCTGTCAGTGCTGTGATGCGCTACAAACCCGGTGACCCGAGTTGATTCTTGCTCACAGCCCACACCAGATTGTGGATAGGAAATGTTAACTACCTCGCCTGGTATACAGGAGATCGTGGGTTCCATCCTGACCCCAGACGCCTGCTGTATATTTGGAGTTTGCGGCGTCTTTCTTTCTCTGTGGTCGCGTCACGTGGGGATTGTAGGCGCCAAATATTCAAAACGCACGTTGATTCTAAATAGTGGATGGAAAACCCACGCGACAGCCACTTTGGCGTGCTATCATTTGTGATGACCCAAGTCGCTTTCTGATAAGAGCTACATAGCTCAGTGGACATTTTCCTGAATTCGCCGGCTTCTAATACAACTTATCCACTGGCACATCCGGATCCCCACGATGCAGGTGGTTTTTCCACTGGCTATTTGCCGTGCTGAGCTGGAACCAGACCGTGCAATGGCTGCAGTGGAAAGACAACCTCGCCCCCCGCTTCCTGAGCCATGCCCGGCCGGCTCTGCACTGTCTCAGCGCGGCTGACGTGTGTATGGGTAGTGGTGGCGTAGAGGTCAGCATGATGAACCTGGCAAGCCCACTTCGATTCCCGCTCATGGCAACCGCCAACACCAGTGACGATTATCTGAACCGGTTCTGAGCCTCCCTCTAGGTCGACTCGGCCTCAAATGCATACCTGGTGCGGTGTGTAATAAACATCGCCACTGGGGAGACAAAGGGCGGGACCACCCACCCCCCTTCGTGCCGGCCTTCATAGGTGCTGCTACTCCCTAACAACACTTGCCCCAACAGTCTGCTTAGGCTTTTCTGGCAGGGGGATCTTTGTCTTTGTGTGTGGAGGATACCTCGTTTCAGCTGCTGGCCCTGTGGACGTGGCCACGCCACCACCGTGCCTTGCTTGCCTTCACTGCCTTATCCGTCTGGTCCCAAAACATTTGATTTGTTTAAAAAAAAGTCACATGCACAACCATTTTAATAAAAAAATAACTGATTTTTAATGAACGGCTTCCCCCTCCACCCGTGTTGGGATTGCATTTTTTTGTTGGTGTGGAAAGGGGTGAGTTCCGCGGCATTTGTTGTGATTTGCTTTTTTTTACTTTGCTCAAATCGATGTCTTGATCAGTTTATTTTGAATTACCCGGTGAGCCAACAAACTCTGAAATTGGGTTTCATCAACAAAAAACGACACCGCCGCTTCTGACATGCGCAACAAAACACAGTAAAATACATCAATAATAAACAACAGATAAGCGAAAATTGCTAATTATCGGAATATCATTTTGTTAAAGAAAAATTAATTCAAATGTAGATGCCAAGACATAACTTTGCTACTGGGCAAAAAAAAGGTCCTATAAAAAGGTACCCCCACCACATGTCTGCCAGGGGTGGCGCTGTGTGGGGTAAGAAGCATTCGTGTTACTGGTAGGAACCACCTGGTTACACCAGCCCACAGGGATTATGTGTCCATCCGTCCGGTGTGCAGGGAGGGCTGGGTGGGGAGAATGGGGGGTGGGAGGGGGTACGGCTGGGTGGGGAGGGGCTTGATCACCCCGTGGGTGCCCTTATAAAATTCAACGTTAACCTACTCAATGCCGGCTTGTGCCCGCCCTCACAGTCGGGCATATTTGCGGAATACACCATGCCGCCGTTGACCCTGGCCATTGACTGAGCAACCCAACGGTCCTACCAGCTCCCTTCGCAGGAATGTGTTTTAAAATGGGCGCAGGGGGTGCTGGACCCGTGCCCGCGCCAGCTTCTCGAGTCGGGCGAGTTGCCGGCCTGCAGTAGGTTTACAATTAAGAAGTAGAACTTCTCGCCTCTGGATTAGATGATAAAGTAGCGTTCGTATGGTGGCGGCTTCCCCTCCACGTGGCTGGGCGAGTGAGAAACCAAGCTACACACGGCAACTGTCCCCAGATTAGTGGGGGGTGTGAATGCGGTTGTCTCACTCCCTACTCTGCTGTACAGCTCAGGTGGCTTACGACGGCACCAACGTGGGGGGGAAGCATTTTTCTTTTCCCCTCTCCCCGAATTTTGGGCCCGGCCCAGCAAAGAACACAATGGCCACCACCACGTTGACGACCAAATGTAAGCGGCAGGGGTGTCTTAAGGTTCCAATTCATGAACGTCCCAAATGATATGCTGCTTTGTCGAGCTATCGTTATAGGTTCAACATGCACACAAAACTGATTTCTGTTTAGTTTGTTGTCCTTCACACCACGCCTCGGATAAGCACAGTTGGTTATGTAAGGAAGTTCAACATACCCACACTTGTATGACAGTAATAAATGGAAGCGAGACCAGTTTTTGTTATGACAACCATATATTGATCTCGAGTGCAAATACGCGGTAAAAACAATCTATCGAAACATTCATCCAATTTTCCCTGATACGTCGAGTTGTTCACATTACAAATTATAAAACCCATGAGGCAGAAATAATCGGCAAAAGACAGTCAATTTAACCAAATCTACATATATGAGTTTAGAAATAAAGTGCTTGGCCGAAGTGCATGGTGGCACCCTGTTCGACGCATGCGACGCGTTTGCCACGCTCACAATGCCCGCCTGCAGGCTTCCCCCTCCCCCCCCCAAGTAGCCGGCCTGTGCATCCGGCCGGCCGATGGTCAATCGACGGGCAACACCCGTCTCTCGACGCACGCAAATAATTTAGGATGTGTAGTTTCAGTGATTCAGAGACATAGTTCAAGCATATTACTAAGCGGAGGAAAATAAACTAACCAGGATTCCCCCAGTAACGGCGAGTAAACAGGGAAAAGTGCACCGCCGAATCCCCGGCTGCTGTGGTGGGCGAGTGAGTTGTGTATGGGAGAGCACCTGCTTGGTGCTGCGGGCGGGGAGAGAGGTCACCCGTTGCTGTAACGCAAACGACCCTGGAGATGCTGGCGGGGACCCTGGGAGAGTTTTCTTGGTGAAGGGCAGGGCGCCATGGAATGGGTTCGCCCCGAGATAGGGGCCTGGGCCCTGCAGAGTGCCTCTGCTCATGTGGCGTCTTTGACCCTCGTCAACCCTTGAAAATCTGGAGGAGAGAGCTCTGAATCTCGCTTTGGGCCATACCCATATCCGCAGCGGGTCTCCAAGGTGAACAGCCCCTGCATTGTTGGAGCAATGGTAGGTAAGGGAAGTCGGCAAGCCGGATCCGTAACTTTGGGACAAGGATTGGCTCGAAGGGCTGGGTCGGTCAGTCTGGTGTGCGAGGGGGGTCTGGGCGTGCGCAGCGGCTGGCGAGGCTCCTGCCACCATCTCGGGCGGCTGGGGGACGAGTTCCGGCGTGCGCCGGGCCCTTCCTGCGAAGTGCCTCGGCTGCGGCGGTTCGTTGGCTGCGGCCGCGTGGCCCGGTGGCCCCGAGGTCCCAGGACCCCGCAGGTGTAGGGCCGACGCGTCTCTCGGCCGGCGTCTAGAACCAGCTTAGAACTGGTGCGGACAGGGGAATCCGACTTTAATTAACAGGACCCTGTGGGGTGGGCTGGTAGGAAAAACAATTGAATGGCTATATAATAAATGAAAGGCAAAAATGGCCACCAATAAGTGGATGCCCCGTGGCCCGCCCTCCACCCGCATAACCCCGCCCCAGCCACCCGTGGCCCGCCCCATCTTGGTGTCCCGCCCCCAGCTCGTTGCCCCGCCCTTACCACCGTAACCCCAGCCCCAACGCGCGTAGCCCCGCCCTCCACCTCGTCCCTACGACCCTGCCGCCGTTGCCCGCCCCAACCCCGCCCTCCACCTCGTGCCTACGCCCCTGCCGCTGTAGCCCCGCCCAATACACCCCTCGGGGGAGAGATTCCCAGGCCTGCTCTCGGCTGGAGAGCGCCGACGGGGGGGGGGGGGGGGTAGGGAGTTGTTTTTTAATGTAAAA